TGTAAATGACAGTGAAGAGAGAGAAATAGAATGATGTATTTTAAGTAAATTTCAACTCCTCGTGGATTACCAAAGGACTAAAAAACTTTGTAAATTTTAGTTAGAAGGAAAATACAAATGACATTGTAGTTCCTCAAAGTTGTTGTTATGGCCACTGGACTGCAGCACAATGAAAAAGGACAAGGTGTATTTGATTTTGGTTTCTGAGGGTTTTTTGGTACAAAAATTTGTCTAGTAATAAAACTTAAATATTAATAGCCAATGATACCTATTATTAATTTTTTAGTATTAGTAATTTTTAGTATAATTTTTAGTATATAATAATAAATTAATACAAACCCAGATAAAATGGAATATTCTGTTCTATGTTCATAATATGTATTATTTTATAGAGTTACCATTTTAAAAACATTTTATCTACCTGGTAGCTTTATTTGCCTGGTAGCTGTAACTAAAACATATTTTGTGTTTGTACTAAACTATTGTATTCAGCTGTCCTGTTGTTGGGACCATATACCTAATACCCACAACTTAAATGAAGAAATGATTTAGTTCAGAGGTTTCAGTTCATGGTCATCTGGATCCAGGGCAGGTACTGTATGGTGAAAAGGCACAGGAGAGCAATGCTGCTCAGTTCATGGTGGCCGGGAAGCAGACCATGATGCCAGAGAGGAAGGGGTGAGGAACTCGATAAAGACCCCTAAGGGCATGCCTCTGTGACCCAACCAGAGGATGATTCCGAGCCAATGAAGTTGACAGTTAAGGTTTACCATCACAAATACACACTGGTAATAATGTGATCATTTTATATAATAAGTTCTGATGTATAGAAAGAGCCAGTTTCCTCATCATCTTTCAATATACTTGTATATAGATTTTTATTGGTGAATATTAATTTTACATGTAATTAGGTTTCATTTTGGCATTTTCATACATGCATATAACATTTATTGAACTTCTTTATTTTTAGAACTCAGTATACTATTTAGGTTGGCATATTAAATGCTATAAATGTGTTAAATTGTTATAGCCACACTATTCAATGGTGGTATGCTTTTTACACATAAAAAATCTTTATCATAGAGAATATAAATATTTGGCTCATGGCCACAAGTGGATGCCTAATTTGCACTCTTTTGGGGGGGGGGTTACTGGGGATCGAACTCGGGTCCTTGCACTTGCGAGACAGGTGGCAGAACCACTGAACTAAATCTCTGGCCCCTATTTGTACTTTTAATCATAATAGAACATAAAGACCATGGCTATATTGTGGTTTTTATCTCTGAATATAAGTGTTCTCCAGTTAGGCATGCGAGAATTTTCCCTCTTCTGCTGCTCATTCCTTCAGTGGTGTTTTTCTGAGCTTTTTTTATTCAGTGTTATGCACAATCCATTGAATGATAGCTCTATAACAGTTGAAGTAATTTAATGATTACAGTTGCTAAAGCTTTTCTGGTCTTGGGAATAAAGAGAAAAGTATACTTACAAAAATGAACACATAAAAAACAAAAAAGAAAAATGAACACATGGATCCTAGGATCCCATAGAAAGTTTTTGTGTCTTATTTTTTGCCATGTTCTAAAAATCTGGATAGAGTTGTACCCTATTTTTTAATGCAGCTAATCTTCATTTTCCCCCTTTTAAAAAAAAAATTAGCCTATTTAAGCACCATGATATTTTTCATGAAAAAAATTAAAAGATCATTTTGACAAATAAAATAGCCAAGTTTTAAGTTAACTTTAACTTTCCAGTGAAGTCTTTTTTCTATAAAGCAGAATACAGAAAAACCTTTTTGTTTATATGACAAATTGTTTTATTATACTTAAATTCTACTTTGATACGGCAAACGTCTGCTGTTTTCTGCAATTTTAAAGACTTTTAATAGTGGCTGCTTATTTTACACTGAAACAGTTGGGAAATCTTTAGTTATCAAATCTGTTTACAAATTCATTGAGAAAAAAATTAATCTTTCAGTTTTTATAATCAAAATTTAATTCTTCTATTTTTACTTGGTTTCTCCCAGTTTTACTGAAATGTATTTATCAAATTCTGTATATTTAAGATCTATAATACTATTTGACAAATATATATATATATATAGTGAATTGATCACTCTTAAATTAGCAAATTATGTTACCTTTATTTATTTATTTATTTTTTAGGTAACAATTTTATTTTTTTTTCCCCCTTAAGTTTATTGGTACATTTTAGGTATAAAATACATTTAGGTACATCATTAGGATCTTGTACCATTACCTGAGTATCTTGGTTCTTATTTTTTTCCCCTTCCCTTGCCCTCCCTCCACCCCCTCCATGCTTCCCTATTTGCAAAGATTTTGTTTCCATTTTTTTCCTTTTCTCATATTTTTTCTTTTGCCTTCTTTCCTTTCCCCTACCCCTCCAACTTCCCCTGCTCCTTTAGATCTTTACATCCTATTGCACAATATCAATTATACATTGTTTAGAATTACAATATCAAGATCTAGGAGACATTAGCACAGGTTTTACAGAATTAAAAAGGATATAGAAAGCATATATCAAAAATATGTTTTGAAATAAATTTGACAACTTCTAAGAAGTACCTTGGAAGACAAATTAATGAAACTAACTCTGGAGGAAATATAAAATT